AGCAAAAGCTTGTTTATTCTTGAAGGCAGCCGCAGGCATAGGGTAGAGTCCTCCTCTACACGTTCCTTCCAGCAGGATTTTCTTCGTGATGCGATCCTTAATAAGAAAGAAATTTGGATGGAACTCAAGGTAAGCATTGTTATCCGCAGCTAGTTTATGAACAGATACAAGGTTTTTAGCAGCACTGGGAACATGTAGAACATTTTTAAGATGAATTTTTCTTCCAGGCGCATGACAGATGACATGACCAATGTGTTCAATGTCCATACCTGATCCATTTGCCGTGTGGACTTGATCGCCACCATGATAGCGGTCACGGATCACCATCTTGTCCATCTCGCCTGTGACATGATCGGAGGCGCCAGTATCTGTGTACCAGTTTGAATCTACACCATACTCACCATAATTGGCGACGTTGGCGCTCTTGTCTTCAGGGACATAGTTCTCATCAAACCGGTACCAGCATTCGGATGCTGTGTGGACGCCCACCTTCTTGCAGATTTGACACTGGACCTTCTGCTTGCCGGAGCTGGAGTTGTTGTTGAAGTTCCCGCGCCCACGCCCACCGTTGTTGCCACGGCCACGTGCACCGCGACCACGGGACATGCGCCCGCCTCCACGACCCCGTGAGGCCGCGTTGGCGGAGAAGCTTGGCGAAGAGGATGACCCGGACGACCCTTGGTAGAGATTCATGCGTTGTTCGAAGGCGAGCAGTTGTGACGTGAGCTCGGTGACGCTGATCGGCTCGACACGTCCAAGAGCGGCGGAGATGACCGGATTGTAGTCGAGATCGAGGCCGGTGATGATGAAGGAGATGAGTTCTTCATCATCAAGCGCTTTGCCTGCAGCTGCCAATTCATCAGCATATGTTTTCATCTTACCGACGTATTCGTCGATGCTCATGGTCCCCTTCTTCGTGGTAGCCAGGGCAATACGCGTGTTTACCGCGCGCGCCCTGGTTTGTGACGCACAGAGCTCCTCCAGCGCCTTCCAGAGAGACGCCGAGGTGTCGCAGTGGGAGATCTGCTTCATCATCTCCTTGGAGAGCGAGTTGACGATGTAGCCGAAAACTTGCTGGTCTTGCGCCAGCCAGGTTGCGTAAGCCGGATTTGGCTCCTTGACCTTGTCAGTGCCCTCGATCTCCTTGGCCGGGGCAGCTTTGGATCCATCGATCAGCCCAGTAAACTGAGCGCCGCGGATGGCAGGCAATACCTGCAGCTTCCATAGGGTATAGTTGGTCTTGGTCAATTTCTCCGTCACGGGATGGCCTAGCGCCGAGGACAGGAGACCACCCGCGATGAGGTTCGTCGCCATGGCGATTATTTTTGGCAGTGGATAGAGGTTGGCTCTGGTACCATGTGAAAGTTGGGAAGCGTATTCACCTCCGTGGAGGCCGCGTGTGTTTATATAAGCAGAAAGAGCCCCTGCCGTGGCATACAATCGTGATCCGAGATTTGTTGAGAGAGCATCCTTGATTACAGGAATAGTAACAGCCTAAACTAGGAAGGACGCAGTCTACCACAAATCTCGGTCTGGTTTGTTACAACGTGACTTGCACGTATGACACACACACACACACATGCATCTATCTATCTGTTTCACAAGCTCACCGCAATTTTCAGAGGTAGGCCACAAAGCAATATTTAGGCAAGTAATTTATATCTGCATGTATGTGTTCTTACAAGTGTCAATTCAATTGCAACAAACTGCGGACTTGCTGCTACTTATATCTGCATGTCCAAATCTTGTATCAACTCACATTCTCACCCAACAAAACCTGCACGCGTCATGTGTGCCCACTGAATTCACTGAAAACAACTGAACAGGACAATGTGCAGACATGAAGTTGAATTGTGATAGTAGCGTAATTCTTGGCACTACGATTTCCACAGAGCAAAGGAAAGTTGGGGAAAGAATAATGGATCTTGGGCACATGGTGCCAACCACTGGTTGGTCAAACTCTGTAATCCTCTACCACACATAAAAAACTGCTGCAGCATCTGATGGAGAGTTCCTTCCATATAATCCACCTGCATCACCCCATTTAAGTAACCTCCAGTGTCACACTAAATTAACCTGGTTGGTAAGACCTGTTGGGTTTGGTGCAGCAGCAGCAGCACTGTTGAGTGGAAGGACTCGTCGTCGCTGGCCTCCTTGCGTCGCATTCTCCAACCAAGACAGCACCGGTGAGTCCTACTGCTCACATCCGGGATGCTGGGATAATGGGGAGTGACGACGAGTTGGAATCTCCTCGACGCAGTTGGGATCTCCCATTCGCTTGCTGCTCCCATCCCAACCAAGATTTTAAATCGCCCGTTATAGCTGTTTGAGAAAGATCAAGCTATTTATGTCTATGTACAACTTAGCCACTATAGCCCGCTATATCCCCATTTAGCTCCGCTATAACTTTTTTTGAGGTCATCCGCTAAAATGTCTTAGCCGGAGATTTAAAACACTGATCCCAACTGCTGCTCCCATCCGCCTGCTGCTCCCATCCGCCTGATATCGGGATAATAGGGCGGCGCAGTTGGGATCTCCTTGGCGCTCGGACGGCGGAGCCTGTCCATGAGGAAGCTACGACGTCACGGCGAAGACAAAAAGGGTGATTCAGAGAGGCAGTGATTATCAGCTCCGGCGGTGCAGCAGTGGCGGCAGGGGCGGGGGAGGGGAGGAGGCGATGGACGAGCAGGGGAATCGCTGAATCGAGCGGGTTGCGACTGGGATCCCCATGACAGGAAAGTTCAGCGCGAGCGGGAAGGTTATCTTTGGCACGCAGGAAGGACCGCGCGCGCGGGCAAGCGCCGTGGCGAGCGATTTCGGCAAATGGCGAGCGGTGTTGGCTTACTTTCTATGGCTATTGAAAGTTCAGAGATAGCCCACTTGCTATTTTAGAAAACTAGATAGCACACCTGTTGGAGCTCAATTTTTGCTGTAAAAGTCCAACTATAGCATAGAAAACATGGATACCACATCCGTTGGAGTCACTCTAAATCATATATTATTCACTTACCCTCTTTAACTTTATTTAGAATATGTTTAACCATATTCCTTGAGGGGAACTATTAGTCCTTTGCGTAAATTTCAGAATTATCCATCATATGTATTTTTAGAAAAAAATTGTGATTTCCTTGAGGGGAAACCATCAGGCAAGTTAGGTTAAACTGACAGAAATTTAGTATTTCATCGACGGAAAACCGACAGAAAATAGTTTCACATCCAATAGAGATATCTTTATTTCCTTGAACGTTGACTGACAGAAAAATTACTAAAACCCACAAAGAAATTAGCACTATCCCTGACAGTGAGTCTACAGGGAAAACAATTAACCACACATGAAACCTGCTGACGCTACAATTTTTTTGTGAGGCATCCGTCAAAAAAATACCATCAAAAAATTATTTCTGTCGGGAAGCTCACAGGCAAATTTGATTTCTCTGTCATTCTATCCTTGACCGGATATGTCTGTCGGGCTCCCAACAGAATTATTTTTTCTGACGGTTTTTTTGGCAAAAAGGAATAATGTAGTTTCCAGTAGTGACTGCACTAGTGTTATGTGTACTTACTTCCATCTTGAATAACGCTTTGGTTAGTAGTGGTGACCCGTGAATTTAAAAATGCTCATGAAAAGCGCGGTGGCTTGCTACTAGGCAGCCTGTGGATGCATGTGCCTATATATACGCGGAGAAACAACGCTTGCTCCAGGCGTTCTAGCTACGTGGGAGTACCAACGTAGGGAATAATGGAGCTCTTCTTCCTCACGGATGGCCTTGCTCTTATAGTGTTCGCTGCTGTTTTCCGGCGAACCAGCAGCCGCAGCGCTCATGCTTTGCCGGCGGTTCCAACGATCGAGGTCGGTGACCGCGCCATTGCACGCCACGGAGCATGCTGGTGGACCACGCCGACACCTTCTCCGACCGCCCCGTCTCCCCATTCCACGTGAAGTTCGTCAGAGCAGAGCGCGTGAACCTCAGCTACAGCATCAGCACCGTGCCGCACGGCCCGCTCTGGCGCGCGCTCCGCTGCAACCTCACCGCCGGCATCTTGCACCCATCGCGCCTCGGCCTCCTCACCGGACTCCAGCGTGAGGCCGTAGACGGCCTCGTCGCGAGCCTCTCCTCCGGCTACGGCCGGGGAGGCCGTGACGACGACGTCGTCGTCGTCTGCGACAGCCTTCACCCCGCCGTGCTCACTCTTCATATGCGCATGTGCTTCGGTGACGGCGGTTTCGACGCGCGCGACGTCCGCGCGGTGCAGCGGGTGCTCAAGGACTTCTTCGACGGCATGGTGGACGCCCCCGTGCTAGCCACCTCAAGGACGGCGCGGCTGCTGCACTGGCGACGGTGGCGGCGCTTCCTCGACGTCCGCAGCCGCATGACGAAGCTCCTCCTCCCTCTCATCGTGGAAAGGCGGCGGCGGCGACAGTCTCTGTGGTGCAGCGATAGTGGCGATGACGGCGGCGGCATCATCCGGCCATACGTTGACTCGCTGCTCGACCTCCAGGTTCCCAGCTACGACGACGACGGGAGCGTCAGGCGCGCTCTGACGGACGACGAGAAGGCGAACCTCGGGTGGGAGTTTCTCGGGGCGGGCACCGAGACAGTCGTGTCCTGCGTCGAGTGGGCGCTCGCGCACCTCGTCAACCAGCCGGAGGTCCAGTAGAAGCTCCACCGCGAGGTCGACGTCCACGGCGGCAGCGACCGGCGCGAGGCCGTCGTCGACACGCCGTACCTGCGCGCGGTCACCCTCGAGAGCCTCCGTCTGCACCCGCCGGTGGCGGTCATACAGCGCGACGTCGTGGTGGGCAGCGTTGACGACGGGGTAGCAGCGGCAGTTATCGGTGTGCACGTGCCGCCGGAGGAGGACGGCAGCAGCGGGGTGGTGCGCTTCACCATCGTTCCGGGTGCCATCGGGAGGGACAGCAGGGCGTGGACGGACCCCGACGAGTTCCGGTACGGTCCGAACGGTTCCTCGCCGGCAGCAAGGGGGAGGCCGTGGGTCCGATGCCGGGGCCCAAGGACATCAGGATGCTGCCTTTCGGCGCCGGGACGAGGCATTGCCCGGCCATGGGGCTGGGTTTGGTTCACGTCAGGCTCTTGCTCGCCGCATTAGTGCGTGCGTTCCAGTGGGCAGTGCCGGCAACAGGTGCTGGTGGTGCTCCTGTTGACCTCACCGAAGTGGACGGGTTCGTCAAGCACATGAAGACGCCGCTCATGGCGCGCATCACGCCGCGCACGTAGCGAGCTACAACCTGTCTACTCCTACTGCAGTATACCCGTACGTGCAGATATTGTTACCGAACGTGTCCGTGTATAGACTGCGTGCGTGGCTTGTTTGGTCACCCAGGATACTTCAATTTCAAAATAGCTCAAATGGCAAATTTGAATAAAAGCTGTGACAACTAATAAGCAGCAAAAATAATGAGATAGTTCAGAACCATGTCCCTGAAGAGATTTGGAAAATATGTGGGGGCTTGCCTTTGGCCATAGTCACCATGGCTGGCCTAGTTGCCTGCAACCCAAGCAAACACAGTGATGATTGGCAAAAAGTCTGCAAATCATTATTTCCAGAACCTGTAACTTCTCTTACTTTAGATGGGGTTACAAGGATACTTGACCGTTGCTACAATGATTTGCCTGCAGATCTCAAGACCTGTTCATTGTACTTGAGCATATTTCCAGAGGGTTGGAAAATTAGCAGGAAACGGTTGACGGGGCGATGGATAGCTGAAGGTTTTGTTAGTGAGAAGCAAGGGTTGACAGAGGAGGAAGTTGCAGAGACATATTTTAATCAGCTCACAAGAAGAAAGATAATACGTCCTGTGGAGCACAGCAGCAATGGGAAAGTAAAAAACTTTCAAGTTCATGACATGGTCCTTGAATATATCGTGTCCAAGTCGAGTGAAGAGAACTTTATTACTGTAGTAGGTGGTCACTGGATGATGCCAGCACCTAGCAATAAACAAAAGGTACGCCAGAACTTTATTACTGTAGTCCGTCGGCTTTCAATGCAGAGCAGTGGTTCCAAGTACGGAAATTCAACAAAAGGTATGAACTTGTCTCAGGTTCGATCACTGACTATTTTTGGGAGCCTGAACCAACTGCCATTCCATTCGTTCAATAATGCAATAATACAAGTCAGGGACGTAGCCAGCGGTGGGGCTAGGGGGGCTTCAGCCCCCCTACCCATCCTGAGCACGTGGAGTTTTCCTAAGTTCCTCCTTAAAATTTTATGCATACATGTATTAGGTAGGAGGGGCTAAAGTTAAGAGAAGATAAAAAAAACCTTTATTCTTTTGTTCAGCCCCTCCTAAATTTTTTTCTGGCTTCGTCACTGCAAGTGCTGGATCTTGAGGGTTGGAAGGGGTTGAAAGAGAAACATCTGAACGACATATGTAAAATGCTTGTCCTGAAGTATTTGGGCCTTCGACGGACAGAGATTGCCAAAATTCCCTCGAAGATTGAGAAGCTTTAGTATTTGGAAACTCTTGACATCAGAGAGACAAATGTTGGGGAGCTTCCAAAGGCTGTAGGGCAGTTAAAACGAATCAGTAGCATACTTGGTGGAAATAAAAACCCAAGGAAGGGGTTGAGGCTGCCTCAAGACAAAAGTAAGGACCCAAGGAAAAGTATGTTGCCACAGGAAAAAAGCAAGGATGGAATGAAAGCACTGCGTGTACTGTCGGGAATTGAGATCATTGGCGAATCAACAGCTGTAGCAGGCGTTCATCAGTTGACCGGATTAAGGAAGTTTGCCATCTACAAGCTCAGCATAAAGAAGGATGGTGACACATTCAAAGAGCTACCGTCCTCTATTGAGTACCTTGGCAGCTGTGGATTGCAAACTCTGGCAATAAATGATGAAAGTTCTGATTTTATCAACTCCTTGGACACCATGTCTGCACCTCCAAGATACCTCATCTCCCTTGAGTTGTCTGGAAACTACATATGCTGAACAAGTTAACCCTGTCGTTAACAGTTCTCCGGACTGACACTTTGGAGCTCATCTGCGACCTGCCGTCATTGTTTTCTCTCACCTTTTCTCTGAATGCAGTGAATCTGGATGAGGACACACAGGAGATCCTCGAGAAGAACAAAGAACCGACCGATGGGGAGATATTTGTCCCTGGTGTATTCCGAAGTCTAAAGCTGCTCCGCTTCTTTGCCCCTCTTGTGCCAAAGCTAGGTTTCAGCGACAATGCAATGCCATCTCTGGAGATGATTGATATGAGGTTTGGCGCCTTTGAAGGTTTGCTTGGCATTGACACCCTAGAAAATCTCAAAGAGGTACATCTCAGAGTTAATGACCAAGCAGACGAAACAACCAAGTTCTTTGTCGATGATCTGAAGAATAATGGCCATGGACTGAAGGTAATTGTTGATCATGTCATCACTGCTTGAAATGGCAAGATATTGGTGCAGCCCAGAGCTCTTTCCAATTCACTGACACATGCTCTGTTGATTTGGAGTGGGTAGTTTCTTGTTACCATATATATGATATTCATGTTTGATAAATAAATAAATAGGGATGGACAAAATATGCATTCACATCCCATGGTATTGTACTTTGTCATTGTCATCTATTTGGTTTTCCTCTTTATGTTTGGATGGTGTGCTATTAAGGTGAAACATTGTTTGTTCTAATGACATTATATCTTCTGACAAAGAGGATACACCTCCCTAAAGAAACCTCTGTTTTCGTTTCATCCTTGGGTCCGTTGGTGATATATTCTTTTGTGGTACATATTATATAAAGCTCAGCAAGTTTTAGCATATAATGTGAATTTGTGATGAAATGTTGGTGGTCTGAATGGACGCTTGGCTTGCCAAGTGAAACAAGATGCAGCAGCTACACTCGATGCGCAATAACAAACTAATGGAATGTACATCGTGCCGCTCATCGTCAAAGGAAAACAGCATGTCGTTCTCTTGTTTCTATTCGTGTGGAACAAATGCCAAAATGACAGATGAGTTGAAGAAAAATGGTGTCTAAAATAGGAACAGGGCATATGACAGGGCAGCATAAAGGGCAAGACATATAAGTAGGCGTTACCTGGATTTCATCTGGCGAGGGGCGGCGGATTGGGAGGGAGTCGAGCTTGGCAGAGAGGAATCTCACGGCACCGGTGACGACGCGGCGCCGCCATAGCTGCTCCTCTCACCAGATCGCAGACACACCTCTGTTAGCGGGCCCATAGGGGTCACAGATCAAACGTGGTGGCAGGAGGATTGCTGTTTGGTTGGGCCGTCCCAACGCTTGCGCGAGGGGCCTTTAGCCTGATAGGCCCAGGCCCGCTTGAAATGGAAGAGAGAATTCAATCATTTTTTTTCATTGCGATTTGTGGAACTTCTGCCATTTGTCCAGGGCTGCGCTAGGGCTGTTTGGATCAGTTCATCGATCTGGCAACGATTTCAACTTCACATGTGACCGAAATCGGACGTCTAAAAATCATGTCCGATTTTCGGGCAGAGCCTTTGCCTAGGGACCCAAGTAAACAGGCACCGCCAGAGCGACGGTTGTCTTTTTCGGGCAGAACTAGGGCCCGGGCGTTCGGACAGACGTCCATATCCAGACACCCACGGGCTGCTTCATGCCCACGCCAGGTGGGGACTGCCCACGCCGCTCCCCATGCTTTTCCCTCCGCTTCCCGCGTCTGCAGCCGGGCAACGCTCCATCCCTCTGTCTTCGTGTGGGAAACATAGCCTCCGAGCGTCATGCCTAGGATAGGATATGTTATCCTTTTTTTTATTTCGAATTGGATACATGTACTCGCCCCATCCTAAAAAGAATGAAATTATAGTACTCATATATTATTCTAAAAAGAGTGCAATTGTCATGATGCAATCGTGCATATTGATTTATCGTAACCATCATGAGCATAATCTGCATTCTATTATCATATTTTCAAAAAAGAACATGATAATTTCTGCATTATATGGGCTTTGTTATCATTATTCGGACAGTCCAACCCTATTTGTTGGACAGTTCGTGAACTCTAGGGCATGTCTGATTAAGTCTGCACTTTTCTACACTGCGCATCAGCCTTTCGGACAATCCGACAAAACACGTCAGACGGTTCAATAGATCATAGCCATGCACCAAATGGTAAGTTGTCAAACTCTAAATTCACCGGCGTCCACATGTCTAGCTCTCGTGAAATCAAAACACCAGGATGTCTCTCACCATCTATCTCACTCTTTGACTCTCACACTCCCTCTCTGGCCCCGTTCGCTTGGAGGAATTTGTAGGAATTTGGATGAATCTGGAGGAATTTGTGAGAGCAAATCAGCCATGCACAGTAGAATCCAGCCGTGCACAGTACCTTTTTGGTACCAGCCGAACGCAGCCGCTGTCTAGTTCTTCTCCTTTCTTGTTTTGGTCTTTCTTTCTTTTTCTGTTTGGCCTTTTGTTGACTTTCTTGAATACCAAAATCAAAGCAATAGTTAGCTTTAGAGCAACTCTAACAAAGGACCCTTTAACATAGGCACCTGCTTAGGATTTGAGGGTTTCTCTTACTTTTAAGGGCCTTATTGGGTTAAACTCTAGCAGCAGCCCTCAAATTAGGGTCTTTGCTTTTTTACAACCTACTTGTCAGTTATTCATTTTTATTTTTATTTTTTATTTTTGTACTCCTATTCCCTTGCTTCTGGCACTGCCTAGTGGCGGGAAAGAGGATCTCGCCGAGGAGGACCTCAGTGAGGAGGGATGGGCTTGACCTCAATAGGCCTTGGTGGCGGCAAGGATCTCAACGGGAGGGATGGGCTTGGCCTCGTGGTACCGCGGAGAAGAGTTTGGACAAAAAAAGATGCACAGGAGAGAATTGATATAGGAAAAAATTCCTAGAAAGTAGGGAGCTCTCTGTATGGGGAGGCTGAGGGAAAGATTTAGGTGTCTCCATATAGTAGGGACTTGAGTTGAGGCCATTAAATTTTTTTCGCTTTGGCTCTAAAAAAGAGCAGGAGCCCTGTTTATGTCCCGTGTTGGAGATACTTTGCAGGTTGCATTGTTTTTTAACCTTAAAAGCTTTCATTTGTTTACCAATGAATCTGTAAGGTGAACATAAAAATCTTGGAACATGAAAGCCATATAGTTTTCCAAACGGTGAATTTTTGTTTGAAGGAAACAATGTTTAAGAAGAAAAATATTACAAGTCTAGCAAGGAGTGTCCTAGGTTTATGAGAAAACTATCCCAATTTCATATAAATTGTTCTAGGTTTAAAAGAAAAACGTTTATCTTCAAGAGAGAAAAAAAATGTTCCAACAATAAAACCAATGTTCCAGTAGCATCGACAGTGTTTCATGAATAAAAAATGATAATACCGAAATTATAGGAAGAACAAAAAAAGAGAAAGAAAGAAATAACAGACTTAATTCTTCCTAATAATTTATATTCCTTTAAAATTTTCTTCTTCCTAATATCGTACGAAGAAAAAATAAGGAACACACTTAAAAGAACCCTAAACCTATAACGCGACTATATGTGTCCCTCCATCCCAAATTATAAATCATTTTAACTTTCTTAGAGAGTTAGAGCATCTCAAATTTGACTAAATTTATATAATAAAATAATGACATTATGATTGTAATAAATATAATTAGATTCTTCATTAATTATATTTTCATAGTATCTCTATTTGATGCCATAAATCTTTATAATTCTCTCTATAATTTTGATCAAACTTGGGGTACTTTGACTCTCATGAAAGTTGGAATGACTTGTAATTTGGCATTGAGGGAGCATATATAGAGAGAGACAAAAGCTTTTACAAGAAAAAACGGGACTAGATCGCAAAAAAAAAAAAAAAAAGAAGGAAAAAAATGGGACTAGACACAAAAGTGAATGAAAAAGGGAAATTATCTTAAAGGCTTTTGCGCATTGAGGAACGGCCCAGGGCGGCCCACCGGCAACACTTACGTCTCTAGTCATCCCCGTTTCACCCCGCGTACGCTCTCCCTCGTCCCTCTCCCTCTCGGCGACGATTGGGCTAGCGCCGCCGCCGCCGCGCTACGCCAGGTGCCGAGGTCTTCCTAGCCCCCTTCTCCAGGTCTTCGTAACCCCTCTCGCCGTCGACGAGCACCCTCCAAGTACGCCAGTCCTTCTCTTCCCTTCCTGCTGCGCGGGACCGGGCGCCCAAACCCTAACATTAGCTATCCGGCTATTTGTCTTCGGATCTGTTCTAATTGCAATCTTATGCATCTATGATGCTTACGAACTTCGATTTTTCTTGCAAAAAGTTATCGAGTTTCCTTTACTGGTTCCGCCCCCCCTGAATTTTACTGGTTTGCAGGGCATTTGCATTATGGTCGCAGCGTAGGTGGTGAGACATTAGAAGGAGGGAGCAAGAAGAGTTGCTGGGCATGGCGGCTCAGGAGGCCGCCGCAGCTGATTCTTCGGGTCCTCGGTTCGCTCCGGACGACCCGACGCTCCCGGCGCCTTGGAAAGCTCTGATTGATGGCGTGACGCTGTACTATTGGAATCCAGAGACGAATGTGACCCAGTATGAGAAGCCTGCTGCGACTGCAGGGGTGCCCCCCTTGCCAGCAGGTCCTCCGCCGTCGACCCCTGCGCAAGTCCCGGAACCTGCACCTGGGGCGTATTCGCAGCCTAACGTGCAGTTCGGTCAAGCTGGGCAGGCAGGGCACCAGGAGCGTCCTGGCCAGGCAGCTTATCCTCCTCAGGGTGGCCAGCTTGGGCAGCAGCAGCATACTCAGCAGCCAGCTCAGCAGCAACCGTTTCAGCAGCATGGCACGGCTCAACACCAGGCTTCGTTTCAGCAAGTGCCATATCAGCAACAGCAGACGCACATGCCAAATCAGCCGCATCAGTACCACAGCGCGCATCCTCAACACATGCCGTATCAGCATGGTCCTTACATGCAACCTCTGCAGCAACAGCAGGCTCCACCATATTTCAGATCAGGCAGACCAGCGTTTAGAGATGCCACAAACTGCCTATAATCAAGCTCAGCAGTCACCGATGCCTCAAGCTGCCTACAATCAAGGTCAGAGTCAGCAGCCACCGATGCCACAACATTCATACAATCAAGGTCAAGTTCAGCAGCCACCAATGCCACAACCTTCCTACAATCAAGGTCAGCAATCCATGATACCACAGTCTGCCTACAATCAAGCTCAGCAGCCACAAATTCCACATGGTGCTTATAATCAAAGCCAGCAGCTGCAGGGAGTTAGGATTGCTCAGAGTCAAGGGCAACATCCTCAACAATCTTTGAGCTTTCCCCAAGCTTCGCAGTCGCCGCAGGTTTCTCAACCTCAAGGACTTAAAATGCCATCTCAGCAAGGTCAACCGCAGCATGGATTGCCGTTCCCTCAGCATGGAAAACCGCCACTGTCACATGGGCAACAAAGTCCATTGTTGAAGGATGATGATGGAGGAGTTCATGAAGGCAAGTGGTCTGGCTTTTCATTACCACTTAGTCAGCAGGGTGGCCAAGCTCCTCTCCCAAATCAGCAGTTACCTTTTAGTCATCAACATCCTGGAGCCCTTAGTAGCCAGCCAAATATACCTGGAGTCGGTGGGCCATTATATCCTGCCAAGCATCTTCCTGGTGGATCATCCTCTGCTGAGACTAATAACATGGGTTTTATGAACTCACCTGCTCAAATGCATCAAGGTGGAGCTGATACAAACTACCAGCAAAAACCAGTTAGTGGCCATGCAGTTCCAAATCATGTTGGTCCATCACCAATTCGACCTCCAATGGGTTTTGATATGGGTAATAGTGATGGTCACTTTGAAAGAGATGACCCTCACTCTTATGGAAGGTTTGATGGAACAAAGGCTCTCCAGCAGCAGCCAAAGCTTGCTCCTCTCCCAACTTCACAAAATCCTATGGTAATAATCTTTGGTATAGTAATGTTAAATCTTAATGAAGTCAAAAGCTCACCCTTATACTGCCTAAATTTATGTCCTACCATAACATTAATAAGCTATAAACTTTCTTGTACATTATAAAGTCTGATGATATTTCCGCACCATATCAATGGAACTAGTTGTAAAAATGTTGGCAACAATGCCCATTAGCTTTCTGATATATTCAATGCTTTCTATATATTATGCTCATGCTAACCTCAATTCAAAAGTTCTAACCATTCACTCTGATTTGCGTAAACTTTTGTGGCAGGGCATGCATAATGGATCGCTTTATCCTCGTCCGAGCATAATTTTAGTGGTTATAACATGGCACCTCCACATTCAGTACCAAATCCACATAATCTTGGTCCATTGCCTATTGGAACTTCAGTGAGGCCACCGTCAAGTATGTTTGCTCCTCCAGATTTTCCAAGCGTATCTTCAGCTGATGCATACCGTCAACACCATGAAGTCACTGCCATGGTAAGGAGTTGATTGCATGGACATATTTTGTCGCAAAACTAAGACACAGTTTACAACTTCAAATTTCTCGAGAGGCTGTTTGCCATTGTACTTAAACATTCTGGAAATGCTGTTCCACATGTGTTTTTTTAACATACTCCGTATCGCTGAATAATTTAATAACCCATTTGCTTAATAGAGGTACTGGTTGATATCTAACATTTACATGACTAAAAAATAGTTTTTGTGGCACACATATCTGACATTTCAAGCATGATGTATACATCTCTGGCCAATTGCCACTCAAGAAAACCGGACAGAGGTATCGCCTAATTTGTTTTGCACGGAGAAATACATTCGAGATACCAAAAGCTCATAAAGCCTGATAGGTGCACTTCTGCAGCTGGACATATTTTAGTATGCCCTGTTCCCTTAGCTCGGTAACAGGGTATTTCAGAATATTTCTCTTGTTGTACAAGTTCATTTTCTTGTTTAGTTAGACTGCTACCAGTTTATTATTCTTTTATACTGTCATCTGTTGATTATTTATATTTTGACTGCTATTTTTTTTAATATCCAGGGTGAAAACGTTCCTGCTCCTTTTATGACATTTGAGGCTACTGGATTCCCTCCAGAGATTCTGAGAGAGGTATGTTTTCTTTAGTTGGGCTTTGCTACTTGTGGATCCATGGATGCATTATCTACAAATTTATCTTAACCTAGAAATTCTTGACAATGTGGGCCACTGAAAATGATATCTTTGAAATGGAAAATTATCTTATCTCGTAGTGAGCACATCATTTGGTATTGCTCACGGATGTAGCAAAATGGATTTGCGGTGATGCTGAGTGCCCTAATACAGCGATTAGTTTTCAATTTCTGGGCAATGTAGTGAAATACTTGTGGCTATTTTCTGCTGACAAGTATTGGGAGGATTGATGTTGTTTCAGATTATAAAATGTGGCTGAGGCTTCCTGCTTCTTGTCTCTGCCACTGAATCAACAAAGAGCTTCTTCATGCCATGAGTTGCTTAAGTAAGCAGCCATATTCACCTAGGATAGAATTTAACCACTTTCTCATTGTTTGGAACCATTTTTTACTCGCTATGGAAAATACCAATTATCTGCTGCAGGTGGGCATGCACTTATGATGCTTATTCATTTTTTTTTTCATTTCAGATCCATGCAGCAGGCTTTTCAAATCCCACTCCAATTCAAGCTCAGACATGGCCTGTTGCACTGCAAAACCGGGACATAGTAGCTATTGCCAAGACAGGGTCTGGAAAGACGCTGGGGTACCTAATTCCTGCTTTTATACATCTAAGGAGATGCCACAATAATCCGATGTTGGGTCCTACGGTATTGGTTTTGGCCCCTACTCGCGAGCTTGCTTCACAAATACAAGACGAAGTAGTTAAGTTTGGTCAATCATCTAGAGTTTCCTGCACAGTAAGTTCTGACCTGATATCTTTTATTATGGCCTTATCTTTTCTTGCATAGAATAATAAAGCATTGATCACAACCAATTGTAGTCCTGAAACTATGTGCACATTTTTTCTGTTTTGTTAGACAATGCATAGTAATTAAGTTATTGGATATTAAATGTTAATAATGTGCTCTATTGATTTTAAAACGTAGAGTCATAGACTCAAGTATTGAGGGCGGGCTTGGTGCAAGCGGTAGAGTCTTACCGCCTGTGACCGGAAGGTCCCGGGTTCGAGTTGCGGTCTCCTCGCATTGCACAGGCGAGGGTAAGGCTTGCCACTGACACCCTTCCCCAGACCCTGTGCTCTATTGATTTTAAAACGTAGAGTCATAGACTCAAGTATTGAAGGGCGGGCCTAGTGCAAGCGGTAGAGTCTTTCCGCCTATGACCGGAAGGTCCCGGGTTCGAGTCGCGGTCTCCTCTCATTGCACAGGTGAGGGTAAGGCTTGCCACTGACACCTTTCCCCAGACCCCGCACAGAGCGGGAGCTCTCTGCACTGGGTACACCCTTTTTTAGTCATAGACTCAAGTATTGTTCTTCAAAAAGTTTATGATAGCTTCACCTTTAGAAAGGTCGATGCGGCTATCGGGGCACCTAGGCCTACTGTGTTTTTTATAGTAGTTATCTTAGAAAATGAACTTGGTGTGGTTCTGAACAATATTGCTGTGCATCGATCATTCAAGATTTCTGTACCTAAGTGCCTTGTAGAATATGTGCATTATTTCTGGTACTATGTTTACTAATGATGACATGTCACATTTCTTACATTGAAATCGTTGTTGATATGTTCTTTTTCAGTGTCTATATGGTGGAGCTTCAAAGGGCCCTCAGCTAAGAGAACTTGAGCGTGGAGCAGATATTGTGGTAGCAACACCTGGACGTCTTAATGATATTCTGGAGATGAAGAAGATTAGCCTCCATCAGGTTTCATTACTTGTGCTTGATGAAGCAGACCGTATGCTTGACATGGGGTTTGAGCCACAACACGGAAGATTGTGGATGAGATTCCTAATACTAGACAGACTCTAATGTACACTGCCACTTGGCCAAAGGAGGTGACAAAAATAGCTGGGGATTTACTAAGAGATCCTGTCCAGGTCAACATTGGCAGCGTCGATGAACTTGTTGTTGCCAACAAATCCATCACTCAGGTATTCTAGTGAAATTATGATTGTTTCTTTTCATACTTTATGCTTTGCCTTTCCTTAGGATGCATAGTCCTTGAAATGCCATTGCTGACTGGTGTCAGAATTCCTATTATTGTTAAGTAGTTTGGAAAAGCATTCTTTGGCACCTAATTTCTATGTGTCAGCCTTTATCTGTAATATATTATGTGGTTGTTTCTAGGATGATCCACTTCTAAGGCTCCTGTTTGTTTGCAGTATGTAGAGGTGGTTCCGCCTATGGACAAGCAGCGACGCCTAGAGCAGATTCTTAGAGATCAAGAAAGGGGCTCAAAAATCATCATATTTTGCTCGACTAAGAAGATGTGTGACCAGCTTGCTCGTGGCATTGGTCGCAATTTTAATGCTGTAAGCATTCATGGTGATAAATCGCAGGCCGAAAGAGATAATGTTCTCAATCAGTTTCGAACTGGCAGGGCTCCAATATTAGTAGCCACAGATGTTGCTGCTCGTGGACTTGATATCAAAGATATCAGGTGAGGCTTATTTGATTGTGAGATATTAAATCCTTAAAATATTTCAATGTCCAATATTACCTTACTGAACACTGACAAATTTCTGTTGCTCATTTGTACTGCACCATGTGTTTTTTTTCCAGAGTGGTAATCAATTATGACTTTCCAACTGGGATAGAAGACTATGTGCATCGCATAGGGCGTACAGGAAGAGCTGGCGCTACTGGTGTCTCGTACACTTTTTTCTCTGAACAAGATTGGAAATATGCTGGTGATTTGGTGAAACTCTTGCAAGGTGCCAACCAGCATGTCCCTCCACAGCTGCAAGACATGGCTGCACGCAGTGCTTCTGGAGGTCCAAGAAACCAGGCTGCTGGGATGAGTCGCTGGGATGGGCCTGGTGGTCGTCGTTTTGAACCTGGTGCTGGTGGCCCTGTTGGTTATGGTGGTGTTAGGGAGGGTCCTGGAGGTTTCGGTGGTCGTGAGGGCCCAGGTGGATTTGGTGTTCGAGAAAGCCCAGCAATGTTTGGTGGCCGGGGTGGCCCTGGTGGCTTCGGTGGCCGGGAAGGCCCTGGTGGCTTTGGTGGCCATGAGGGCCCTGGTGGCTTTGGTGGCCGGGAACGGGAGGGTCCTGGTGGCTTTGGTGGCAGAAAGGGCCCAGGTGGCTTTGGTGTGGACGAGATGGCCCTGGGTCAGGTGGTTTTGGTGGTAGAGGGGCGTGGATCTGGTGGTTTTGGCAGTAGAGGCGGATCAAGCCCTGGGGGCTTTGGTGGACGTGGTGGCAGGGGTGATTCTTCTGGTTTTGGTGGACGTGGCAGGGGTGATTTTTCCAGTTTTGGTGGGCGTGGCAGGGTGATTCTCCGGTTTTGGTGGGCGTGGCAGGGGAGATTTTTCTGGTGGACGTGGTGGCAGGGGCCGTGGATTTGGCGGGAGGGGACGTTCTGACCGAGGCCCACATGACCGGTTTGTCTCAGATGGACGGGGACGATATGATAACCGTCGAGGATTTGGAGACAAGGGTAGGGATCAGAGCTACAGCCGCAGCCCAGATAGAGGCCAGTCACGGGGTTATGACAGAAGAAGTGACAGCAGGAGCATTAGTAGGAGCAGGAGCCGTAGCAGGAGCTGGTCACGCAGCAGAAGCCGCAGCAGGAGCTGGAGCCGTAGTCGGAGCCGCAGCAGCAGCCGGAGTCGTAGCAGGAGCAGGAGCCGTGACCATGGGGCAGCACTGGAGCGCAGGCCCCGAGCAAGATCTGGTTTCGATGTGCTGCCTCCTGCAGCTGGAGCAGCCGGACCTGCTGCACCTGTCCCTGTCCCTGTCCCTATCCCTATCCCTGGACCAGCAGCACCACCTGTTCCTGCTCTCGCACCTCAACAATCACTGGCCGATACATCTTCAATGTCGCCAATGTCTCCTGGTGGCCTAGTCCAGCCAGCTGCTGCTGCACCGTTGATATGTGGTGGGAATGACAACAGCTTTGGCGGGACACCAGCTGGCCAGCCTTTCCAAGGGACTGACGCTGCATTCCCCAGTTTTCCTGCAGGCGAAACATTTCCAGGCGCAGCAGTTCAGCAGGCAGCTCCTGATGTATAATGATTAATGAGTTGAACGATATCTAGTGAACTGCTCCTTTTCTCCCTATTCAATCTGGTGTACAATAGGAGAAATGAGTTTCTGGGCAGTAGTTTATATGACTAAAATCAGTTTTTCCACAATTTCTGATGATCTCGTCGTGAATTGACTAAAGGATCTTGTGTGTTCTTGTGCTGAATACGTGAAAAGGAGATGTGGTATTGCAACTCTGTTTTGTTGTGTTTTTTTTTTCTGTTTTACAATTTGTGTTTCTTTGAAATTTTTTGTTGTTTTGCCTAATATTCTGTCGTTTCAATGGATTTTGCGTAGAACTGCACTCAATGGTCTGCATTCTAATTTATGTTTGTTATACCAGCTAAATTCAGTCTGTTTAACTGGTTTTCAGCGAAACACGAGGTCAATACAGATTTTTGTAGTTCAAAAATTAATGGCAAGCATGCGTACATTTTTTAAAATTTCTTTCAAAATTTGTTGTTTCTGGGTCAATTGAATTGCCGCCTCGTGCTGCTTGATTGACTTTCAAAATACGCAAGCCAGAGATTTGATAAGTTATGATTTTTCCTGTCATTTGGTTTGCTAACAAAATTTGCCAACCTCTCATATTTGTCTTGCTAAATTTATGGCAAATTTTATTGTCCAAATTTTACTTGCTAAATCTTTAGTATGACAAAATTTTACCACAAACCAAGCAAGCCCCTAATGTTTTTTATTATATAAGTTCTGTTTGTTAGATCGTTTTTTCTGGCATACGCGAGGTAAATTCAAATTTTTTAGAGTTTTGAAAAAAAAATCGCAAATATGAGTTGAAAGCAACAGACGATTAAAATTTGCACAAAATCAGAAGGATTTTCTGCAGCGGTCGTGTCGCTCGTTCTAGAGTCCCTGACAATATGTCCGGGTCTCCCATTCGTCTCCGCCCATTCAGTGGGGCCCACTTGTCATACACACCCGCTCTCCGTCACTGACAATGTGTCCCGGTCTCCCGCGATCTCAATTCGTCTCCGGCCTCTCAGTGGGGCCCACCTTGTCATAGACACCCCCTCTCCGCTGCTCCACTCCACTGCTGGAACTCCTTTTTTCTTTTTCCCTTCGTCGTCTGCTGTTTCCGCCTCTCCCTGCCGCGGCCGACCCCCACGATAACCTGCCGCCGCCGCCGCCGCCTCCGTCTCCAGCACCCCACTACCCATCGCGTGCCGCTCGCCGCCACCGCCGCGGCTCCGAATCCCGCAGGAGCGGGGAAGACATGGCCGCGGCACCGGCGCGGGCACTCGCCGCCGACAAGAGGTCCCATCCGCTTCGCGTCCTTATTCTTCTTCCCATTTCTATCTCTTTGCGTTTCCATTGGGTTCAGTTGGTGCTCCCCGACTACAAGGGTTTAGGGTTTAGCGCTGCAGGTGGGGTTTGTTGCTGCCGCTGCGGCTCCGGGGAGGACGCCGGCCGCGGGGGTTGTTGAGACGGCCCTGAAGCCCACTGATTTGCCAACCCAGATGTGACATTTCTTTTCCCCGGCGTAAATCATCATCTGGAGATGCCATTCTTAGTTGAATTGGGGGTTTTGAATTGTGCTTATCACCCACTGGGGCTTCATTCCGGAGCGGGTTGTTCCCTTTCCAATGTTTATGTGTTTATATAGCTTCACAATGATTTTTATAGTTGATGGATGGAGGCACAGTTAAGTTTGCACTACCTTTAAGTAAAATAATGGAATGCTTTTGTATTTTTTTGTCCCCTGATTGAAATAATGGTCCCGATTTTGTCAAGTAGCTATGCTGGTTTAGATGCATAAGCCATGTTGATTCAGTGTCAAAATGGTAGTCTTTTAGTCTGCCATTGGGATCCCTTGTGTGTATTGGCTGGATAAATACTAAATACTAGTTTAAACAATTTCTGACTGTTTCCCTGTGATTGCTGTTTAGCAATTTCCTCTAAAGTCTGAACTGTGTCTAGTAGTCTTGTTAGCTTTGATGCATGAATAGTATTGATTCAGTGTTGAAGCGGTCTTGATAATATGCAGTCACGAGGATCCCTTGTGTGTTTTTTCTGATCTAGACATTTTTTTACTGTTTCCCTGTACCTTGTTGGTGATATTTTGCTATCTGATGGGATGTTGGAATGGATGGATGGGGTGCTCTACCATGGGGTGACAGGCCAATGCGCGTCTAGTACCAAATGCATGGGGTTCATCATCACTACTATCTCTCAAGAAGGGTGAAGGTTCTGGGTCATTTGTGAACATCAATGACCACCCTTCTTCTCCAGTAAGCTCAAGCATGTCGACAGATGAAAGTGACTTGCTCGACTCACCTGTTTCTTGTGGTCGAACTTCACATGATTCTGTAACTGCGATAAGCCGTCCTCAAAGCACAGAGTTAAGATCAGGAAGCTGGAAATTTGCACATTCTCAAATTTCTTTCTTGGATGTTCTGAAAGCCCCATTAAGGACTATTGCAAAAAGGTATGCATTCCATATGTTATTCATGTTGTCAGCTAACTGAACACATATAGATGTCATGTATAAAACAATAATATATTTTGCCAATGCAGAGGCCTACATCACACAGAAAGGGGTTTACCATATGTGCAGATGATTTCCCAGTACTTGATTCCAAGAACTCTCAGTCAAATGGTCAACAAGGTGTCTACATGTACCACCAGATTATCTTGCCTAAGTCTGCTTGTAGTTGTTACAGTTACATATCTAAAATCATAATTTTGCCCAACAATAAACTGTATTCTTGATAAATTTATGTTAGTGGTGCTAAATGCTTTGTCAGTTCCATATAGTTTATTTAATATACCTACAACATATGTTTTTTACTTAGTGTCTTCTCATTTGCAGGCCATTGTTTTCAAGGGCGACCATCTTTTAGCTCTGTTGTTATCGCGGCACGAGATGAACGAAGAAAGATCCCGTTAACTGGTGCACACCTTGTTCACTGATTCTCACCCATTATTTTATATTTCATAACTTAGGTTATCATAGAAATTTTCTTTTATACAATTTTACTTTCCTTTCCATATGATGAGATATATTTGTTTTGTCAGGAGGTGATCCTGTTTCTACTGCAAATTTCTCTTGGGAACCAGAATAGGCTCAACTACATGCTACACAAATTCCTTATATATGTATGCCTCCTCCATGTATTGATTACTGGCATCATCCTCCTGACAGGAATGGAATTCGTCTTTGAGGAGTGGTATCATATGGTCCGTGCAAGCCTGCAGACAAGACTGTCAGCTTCCCTGTTGAACCATTTACTCATGATGGTCAATCCGTTCTGAACCAGGGGGGAGAAGAAAGGCATGGTCCACATGGGGTTTATCACCCAGAAAACAATGATTCCTGTTATGCTCATGTGCCTGTTGATACTTTTGTCAAAAGTTTACCTCATCTCATACTTGAAAAGGTCAAAGATAACCATTCAGATGCACTTGAGAAGCAACCTGTCATCAAGAAGGATGTGGCACTGCTAGAGAAAATAAAGTGCCTACCTCATCACATACTTGGAAAGGTCAAAGGTAACCATTCAGATGCACTTGAGAAGCAACCTGTCATCAAGGAGAATGTGGCACTGTTAGAGAAAATTAAGTGTCTAAACATCAAAGCTAGAAATCTTCGTGCCTGTAACATGCCCGAAATATCTTTGTGCAAGGAATCCAAGGTTGAATGTCCCAAAAGCCTCAATTTAAAAGCAGATCATCTAGCAAATGATGTCCCCTTCAGCGCTGCCACCAGCTTTATCACCTCTGCCTTTGATATGGCTAATTATGTTTCTGAAAGAAGTAAGCATGTGTTGGTTGGTACATCAAATATGTCTGCTATTCTGGTAACGACTGATCTGTCAGAAGGACATGTTACTGAATTCAGTGAAGCTAAAAAGATGGGCAACTCTGCTGATAATCATGTATATGGAGTAGTGGATACTGTTAGTCGCTGAATTCTCACTCTTGGTAGTAGGAGAATTCTTACTCTCATCGAGAGAGGATGACACTAGGAGTTGGGGCAATTTTCTTGTATATTTCTCACACAAACTCACACAAATGCCATACCAACCTGAGGGGTTAGGGTTACATATTTATAGGCTGCTAGCCAGCCAAGCATATGCCAAGATGTTAGTCTAAGATGCTAGTCTAAGATGCTAATATGCTGTCCTCGCTAAGATGCTGTCCTCTAGTCTAAGATGCTGTCCTCTAAGATGCTGTCCTCTAGTCTAAGATGCTGTCCTAAAAACAGAAAAACAGCCACAACGACCATGTGAGGAGCACAGCCCCACAAAGACCAGCCACACATGAGACTTATCCATCAGATACACCAACAAACCTCTGTTGCAGTTCAGCTACGGACACTGCATCTAATATCTGGGGACATGGATGGAAGGAACACTCTACTGTTTACGCTTTGCCAGTCTCTACAGCAAATAATCATGAAGATCAACCACTTGCTGAGAACTGCTCACAGCAGGGGCATGCGAGAACTGCTAATGATTTGCTGAAATCTCCTCATGAAATCCAGGTACTTGATTGCCATTTTGCATGATGCAATGTAATTTTCCACCAGTATCGTTAATATTGTATTGCACTTGATCTGGAATACACTTTTCCTGTAACATAATCAGGGTCACTGAAATGTTTTGTAATTTTGTTAGTACGAGATATACTGAGTTAGTACCTAGACATGTAAAGAGAGGTTTATATAAATGTAAATTCATCTGTATCCATGTTAAAGTTGATGCATATCCTTCAAAATATGCACCCTTGTCCTATATAGTGTAATTCTTACATGTTCTATTTAGGCAAGTTCATTTCCTTATTATTACTCCACTTGTATTGCCTCCTAATTTCTGAACGTAATACTCAAGAATTTGGCATAACATAAATAAAGTCTTAAAAGTGAGCAAGCAACATTGTAAAGGACGAATTAACTACCCGATTTCCATAAATCTTAGTGTTTGTTGTTTGAACTTTTGTTTAATTGATTTATTCAGCATTCAAGAAGAGAGTTGTCTGCTCAAAATTCACAACCACAGGGAGAGGAGAGGGGAAAAAGTCAACAAAAGGCAAAGTCTATTGCAAAACTGGAATTTGTACAAAATCAGAAGTCAAATGATGCACCTGGTAAATCTGGTGATTCCCATGTATATGGAGGATGGAATGCTTTGATGAACAAGCTTGGTTGTGCTGAGGATATTCCATTTAACATTTCGAGACATGGATGGAAGGTCACCCTGCAGTTGACTCTTTGCCAGTTATGACAGATTCTCATCAAGATCAATCTTTTCCTTGGAACACCTCTCAGCAAGGACATGTGCTAACTGATGATATTCTTAACTCTCCTCGTTATGAAATTGAGGTATGAAGTTTTCACTTTGTATGACACCATGCTATTTTCTACTATTGTCAATTAAATGATATCTTGTACCTGTCCAGGAATGCATGCTTTTCTACGACATTATCAAGGCCACAAAACTGTTTTGTTATTATGATGAGACCAATTGATACTTAAATGCCATAGTTAGCATATCATTCAAAGATACAGTATGAAGAGATGTTTGTGTTCAGAAATTCTTCTATTCAATAAGTTCATCAATATCAATGGTAACATTGATTTCTATCCTCCAAAAGCTAGTCTTTCCTATACATTGTTACTCCATGTACAGTGTTTATTGAGTATCTTGAAAGTTGTGCATGCATATAAATAAAAAGAACTAAAAGCACTAAAGCAGGCAAGCAAAGTGAAAGAAGGACCTGAGGTGTCCATTGTCCCTGAATCTTATATTTGTGTTATTGTAACTTCTGTTTATTTGGTTCATTTAGCATCCAAGATGGAGAGAGTCTCCTACCAAATATGCAAAACAACTACAGATGGAGAATGAAAACATCGAACATGAGGCAACATTTATTGCCAAACCAGAAGACTTGAGCACACAGCCATTTGTACATAGTCTGAAGTCAAATGATGCACCTGGTGAATCTGCTGATTACCATGTATATGCCAGATCGAATGCATTAAGAAACAGGCATGGTAGTTCTGCTGAGGATATTTCATTTAGCATGCCTGGACATGGATGGAAAGATCACTCTACAGTTGACTCTTTGCCAGTTGTAAGGACAGATACTTATCAAGATCAATCATTTCCTGAGGGCACTTCTTTGCAGGTGCAGGGGAGAGCTGTTGATGATATGGTTAACTCTCCTGGTTATGACATTGAGGTACCCAATTGTCATGTTGTGTGATGCCATGTTATTTTCTTCCTTTGTCAACTAAGTGTTGTCTAATACTCGATTAGGAATAGTTGATTTCATATCATGGTATCATGGTCACCAAACTGTGTTGCAATTGTGAGACCAGTTTACATTGAAATGAAATGCCATGCTAATCAATCATAAAATATAAAAAGATATTTCTGTTGCTTCTAGGAATGCTTCTACTTGATATATTCATCTATGATGTTAAGATTTAATGCTTGTCCTGTAGAAGTTGAACTTGGTTGGACTCTTTTCCTACAGTTTTTCACACATCCTATATAGGTGCATCCTTTTCATTATAGGTTGCTCCATTTCCGTTGCTGTCAAATTTCTTAAAAGAGTACCAAAAAGAGTGACACTTGTACATAAATAAAATGTGAAAAATGGGCAAACAGCACAGACAAGTTTTAGTGATGTGTCATTTCTCCAAGAATCTTGTATTTATTTATTTATTGTTGCTAACTATGTTTATTTGGTTCATTCAGCTTTCAAGGAGAGAATTGTCTGCACAGCATCCAAAACAACTGCAGGAAGAGGAGAGGGGAAAACTTCAACAAAAGGCAAAAGCTAATGCAAAACTGGAAGAACTGAAGAGATGTTTGTTTGTACAGAATCATATGTCCAATGATGTGCCACAAGAAACAAACAAAAATCTTTGTAAACAAAATGCTGGAAGTGCCGCGAAGAATACTGCAGCTGCTATCAGCTCCACTCAGAATGTGATGTGTGCAGCCAAGAAAACTGACATTAGCATGCTGGAACACATTGCCCAGAAAACTGAAGCAGAGTCACATGATAGTAATGCTCCAAAGCTTTTGCAGACGGAGGATAGGGAAGGACAAGTTCATAAACAGGAGAGTATTTCAAGGGGCTCCACTCCAGCATCAGACACTGCAGCTGCTAACATAAGTCCTTTGATTCCGAACACCATTTCCCCAGTCAAGAACACTGAAATCAAGATTATGGAACCAATTGACCTGAAAGGCGTGTCACACACAAATGAAAGCAGGACTCCAATGCATTTGCAGATGGAGGAAAAGAGAAGGCAAGTTCATTCACATAGAAGAATTTTAAGGGGCTGCACTCCAGCATCAGGACCTGCAGGTGTCAACAAAGGGTCTTTGATTCATAATGTCATACCTTCAGCAAAGAACAATGAAAACAGCATGATGGAACACATTGCCTGGAAAAGTGCATCACAGTCACACGAGAACAGTTCTCCAAAGCGTTTGCAGATGGAGAATAGGCAAAGGCAAGTTCATCCACAGGAGAGAGTTCTAAGGGAGAGATCAAACATAGCTGAAAGCACAGAAGATATTACAACTGTTTCTGGGACTCATGTAAATGCGCCAAATGCTGAAGCTAAACCTCATGTGGACCTCTCAACACAAAGCAAGAACAGACCTGTGTCACCATGTGTGTTTGGAACTAAGAATACAGAAACATCAGGTTTGCTTAAAGCTCCTGTATCAGGCGTTGTTATCAACAGTTCTATAATCACCATGCAGACTCCTTTGGCTAGAGGCTTTACTGTGGGGAGCATAATGCTTGGGGATGTTTCAGTTGCATCCAATCAGGAGAAAACAGTTGCCAAGGAAGTGGATGATGATACAACAAATAGCTGTGCTAGTCCTAAGCAGACAAAGCAATTGGGAAAGAATCAGCATGATGAACAGCATGCCAAGGATCCCCATGGGTGTGACAGTATCATGTGCGCAGAAGTTAAAGAGCCAAGCAAGAAAGAACGGCCTGAGGCTGGTGGGGTGAACTGCATGGCAATACCTGCTCCAAACCATCCATCTGGGAATCAAAGCACTGTTTTGCAGGATGCAGTGCCAGCAAAAACAAGTGAAATAGAGAGGCATGCCCATCAACCTGAATACATAGAGCTGCACCTGCAGAATCCCAGGCAAATGGTACAGCCGTACAGGCAGAGAAGCACATGACATCATCTGATAATTTATCAACGTCCATATTGGAAACTAAGAGTCAGGATAAAGAAACCCTGCATACTTCCACTGCTACACAATCTGGGATTAAAACAGAACCTGAGAACCGGGAGGATGGGAAAATTAGCAAGCATCTAGGGAGGAGCAGTGCTGCTTCTGACCAAGGAAGCACAAATGGTTCAGCTACATTAGCATCAGATCTTACTGAAAAGGAAGCCAACTCTCTAGTGTTAAAAATCATGCAGGAGTTATCTGACTAGTTGGAGCAAGTAGAGAAACAATTCGACTCCACCCATGTGGTTGCTGTGAGCCGCTCAGAACCAACTCAAACGGTTTCACTACCTGGGTACACTTGGGGAGAACATCGTGTGAGTCAGTCAAAGGCAATACCATGTAGATGGCCAAGGAAACGTGCAGATCAGCTACGCTGCAAATGTGTGTGGCTTCACACAGGGGGCATCAGCTCTGTCTACCGCTCATGTGTTGCCTGGACCCATCTCTGTTCCTGAGAACAACATACTGAATGGCAGCAGTGCTCCAGTTTGGATGTGGGATGCTGCCGAGGGCATATTGACATCTGACATCGGCAACATCACAGTTGTGGGTACTGCAATTACAAGCAGAAGTCGCAGCGAACTGACTGAGAGCATCTACGGGGTCAGTGAAATGGATCAGCACTGCATGCAAGTCATAGGTGGCATGTCATATGACACTGTTGTGGCGAACCCTGAGATCCAGTACCACGCAGGTCTGGCACACCAGCAGGTCAACCCGGTATGGTTACCCCACGGCCAGCAGGATATGAGTTATCATAGCAGCAGTGGTACCGGCGTGTATTGGCCACAGATGGACGTAGGCGCTGCGATGCAAAGTCATGGTGTGACCAGACCAGTAGTAGGCGCTGGGCATCCTGGTTATCAACTAATGCCACCACAGATGGACGTAGGCGCTGCGATGCAAGTCATGGCGTGACCGGACCAGTAGTAGGCGCTGGGCATCCTGGTTACCAACTAATGCCAGTTGCATCTCCTGGCGCTGCCTACACTGGGAGCACAATGGTGAGCGTGGGGCATCCGGCGGCGGCATGGACTTGGGGGAAGCGAACATGTGTACTACGCCTGATTGTCTGGATAGCAGTAGAGTTTGGTGTTGGGTAGCTCATATAAGTCGGCTGTGCTGCTTAATTGAATCGTCTTTCAAGTCTCAAACAGTCATGTGTGCACGTACTGGTGTCACAAGCAGATCCTTCGAAGCGATGATGAATGAATGGTGTCAGCTTTAGTCTCATATATTTGACGCAGCTGTATTGCTAGGAATCATTGTCTTTCATCTTTCATTCAGTCACACAATTGTATGGCCACATGCTCCAGCAGTGTTTTTTAGGACAAATTTGTATGATGCCTGAATATTATGTATGCAGCCACACTGCGTTCCATGTTTTTGAGTAGTCTTGGGCTGGCTGTACGCAGCCACACTGCAGACGACATACCTTCACAAGAACTTTGAGTTTAGATTTGGGCACCCCTATTTTTTCTGCCTTAACAGTGTTTAATCTGTTTGTTTACAAATAAGCCCATTGAAAAATAAGCACATTTTCTGACTTTTTTCATCTGTCATTGACCATTGCGCGTTCGGTAATTGTGTTGTTAGCCTTGCTGCAGCCAGGGGTTCAGTAAAAATGCAAAATGCCAATACTCTGCTGCTTCTCTTGCGGTAATTGTATTTTAATCCAGAGAAAGATAAGTCTCTTTGTTTAGAGAAGTGCTTGGGCTAAATGCCAATACTCTGCTTCACTTTGCAGATATAATCTTCTATTCTCATGCAGTTTGCTTCTTTTGTTTGTTGCTCGGCTTTTCAGGTCTAGGAAAACTAACTTCAACAATAATACAATAGAAAGCCCAGTTGTGTTAATCATGGTACTTTTATCTGATTCTCTTGCTAGTGCTGACTCACAGGGCTGTGGACAAAAAACTAACACAGCTGGCAATTTGATTGCATCGACCACCTGTTATGTGCTGAAATTTGTTTTTTCATTTGTTTTCTGTAAGGGAAGACAGAGCTTTCTTAAAGTTGGAATTTGATGATAGTACAGTGCCCTCGTCTTGCTGAACCTGGAGGTACCACATCTGGGCGCCAGCCTCCAGGTTGTATGACACCATCCACACTTGTTCTTTCGCCGCAATACGCTGTTGATGAAAATATGACTCATAGCGGTTGAGGAAGGTCAGCGGATTGGACTTGCCGATGTTATACATTTTGCCACAGTATTTTGAGTTGATATCGTCATGTCTATTCTCTGATATATGATTATATATATATAATATATTAGCGTGCGGTGTGCAGCTAGTAAGATTTTTAGCCGTCTATATTTTAGGGCCCCCTGCTTCGTTTTCGGGTCCACCACTAGTCACAGGCAAAGGCCACGTAGATGGTCAAGGAAACGTTGGATCGACCACTAGTCACAGTCAAAGGCAATACCATGTATTTGGCCAAGGAAACGCGTGGACCAGCTACTGCTCATTGTTAGGATCGAATGTGTGTACCTCACTGTGACCCGTAGATCCGGTTAGGCTCCTTGCCTGTCTCTGTTGCAACGCATCGGCAAGCGTAGACGCCGATGCCGTCGGTGTAGTAGACGTCGTAGTGGCGAGGAGGTGAAGTCCGATCTTTGCTGGTACTGTAGTGGTCCGATGGTGGCCCCTGCTTGATGGGAGCGGCGGCGGTGGTGGCGGGCTCATCCCGTCGGCGGCAAAGACGTCTTTAGATCGGATTAGGGTTTTCTTTGGTGGATGTGGCGGCTCCGACGAACCTTGTTAGCTGAGCCCAGTCCCCACTCCTCTATTTATGTCTTTGTCTGACAGGGGCCGTCAACCCGATTAGGGGTTGGGCTCCTCCGATCGAGGAGAGCGAGAGGCAAAGGGCCCAATAGGCCGTTGGGCCTATTGGTGGAGATCAACTAACATTCTCCCCTTGATCTCATTCCATCTTTCACTTTCATATCATTTACTTTTGTTCATTCCATTCTGATTAGCTCATAGAGCATGTCTCATAAATCACGGTCCATTGCCGATAGACTTATGACTACAACTCACTACTCGTTTCTAAAATAGATACTTATCTTTGGGCCTTCTTTTATCCGGGGAATATTTTAGGCTTTCCCTTAAACTCAAGCTAGCTACATGTTCTCTGAACACCATGTCCTCTGAACATGTTGGGTGGTAAGCCTTTTGTAAGCGGATCCATGAGCATCCTTCTGTTCTTATATGCTCAAGACTTATGACTTGATCCCGGACTTTATCTTTCACAACATAATACTCTATGTCAATGTGTTTGGCAGCACCACTTGACTTATGTTGTGAGCATCCTGTACTGCCAGATTATAATCGCAGTATTACTTTAGTGGTCTATAGATGTCGTCAACCACCTTCAAACCGGGTATGAACTTCGTTAGTTAGTTCACCTGCCCGTTGCCTCATAACACGCTACAAACTGTCATACATTGTGGACGATGTAGTGATAGTTTGCTTTGAGCTTTTCCATGAAATAGCTCCCCTTTGCGAGATGATAGAAAATCCACGTCTGGATATGCATTCACTCTCGCATAATCAGAATCTGAATATCCCACCATGTGGAGTGAATCAGATCTTCTATATGTCATCATGAGGCCTTTTGTTCCTTGCAAATAATGCAAGACTTTCTTTACTAATTTCAGTGTTCTATTCCAGAATTGCTCTGGAATCTGTCAAGTAAAACCCGGTAACAAATGCCAAGTCAGGGCGTGTACATACTTGAGCATGTTGCAAGCTTCCGATAGCTGAAGCATATGGAACCACTTTTACTTTATCGATTGAGCTCATATTGGTTCCTGGGGCATTAAAAATCCCCATATCTGTCGCCCTTGACTATAGGAGCAGGTGAGGGACTACATTTGTGCATACTGAATTTCTTTAAGATCTTTTCCATGTATGCCTTTTGTGACAGTCCTTATACCCTTTTCTTCTTTCTCGGTGAATCTCGATCCCTAGAACGAACGAGGCTTCGCCAAGATCTTTCATATCAAATTTCTTTGTCTCCAGTAGTAGACTAACATCACTACTAGCAAGTAAGATATCATCTACATACAGGACAAGGAAGATAAACTTCCCATTCTTAAACTTTGTATTGACACAATTGTCATCTACATTCTCTTTACTTTGTATAGACACAATTGTCATCTACATTCTCTTTACTTTGTATAGACACAATTGTCCTCTACATTCTCTTTAAACCCAAAATTCTTTATTGTCTGATCAAACTTCAAGTACCACTGTCTTGAAGCTTGTTTTAATCCATGAATGGATTTCTTTAGGCAGCATCCCATTCGTTCTTTTCCTTCCATGACAAAACCTTTCGGTTGTGCCATGTTAACATTTTCCTCCAAGTCTCTGTTGAGAAATGCCGTCTTTACATCCACATGATGTAATTCTTAATCGTAATGTGCCACTAATGCCATTAAGATTCTGAAGGTAACTTTACATGAGACTGAAGAAAAGGTCTCATTGTAATCAATCCCTTCTCTTTGCATAAAGCCTTTTGACACAAGTCACCCTTTATATCTCTCTATATTCTCTTGAGAGTCAAGTTTTGTTTTGTAGACCCATTTACAGCCTACTATTTTAGCTCCTTTAGGAATTATTTCCAAGTCCCAAACTATATTGGCATTTATTGATTTCATTTTATCTTCTATGGCCTCAAGCCACTTTGATGAATGATTACTTTTCATGGCTTATTCAAATGAGGTGGGATCATCCTCCATTTGAAATTCTTTAGTGTTGTACACTTCATAATCAGCAAGAATAGCTGATTTTCTAACTTTTGAGACCTTCTAGGGTCTTCACATTTGGCACATCTTACTGTTTGAGGCTGTTGTTGCTCCCCTCATGTGTGGCAATAGGTTCTATAGGATCTCAAAAACAGGTTCCTCATCGTTATTCATTGTTGCCAAAGGTGGGATAACAACAGTCTTGGCACCACAAGATTTAATCTTTGTCGGTGCGGCGACAATAAATAGTGAGAAAAATGGCCCATGAATCATTAGAGTGGGCGCAAACACCCGCTTCACTTCAAGGTCAATTTCTCGAGCTACCATGCTTCCCCCTCATCAATTCATCCTCTAGGAAGACAACGTGTCTCGTTTCTACAAACTTTGTATGTCTTTACCGACAAAGTGAAAACAAAAGCCTTTTGACTTTTTCAGGTAGCCAAACAAATGGCAACTTCTTGTTTTGGGATATAACTTCCCAATGTTTGGGTTAAACACTTTAGCCTCAAGAGGCTCCCCACATTCACGGAAGTGGTTTAGCGAGGTACTCTTTCATCCCACAACTCATACGGTGTTTTGGACACCAACTTTCTTGATACTCTATTGAGAATATGAATGGCGGTTTTAACACCTCCATTCATGAGGCTCAACTGTAGGGTGGAGTGTCTTATCATCCGCCCACCATATCTATCGAGGTGCGATTGATTCTTTTAGCTACTTTATTCTGCTTTGAGGTTCGTTTGGGTGTGGAATCTTTGGGCTACTATGCCATTCTTTTAGGGTATGCCGGACCGTAGTACTCCCCCCACGGACACGACTATCTTAATCTTTAATATCTTAAATTTATCCAATACATCTTTTCTTTCTTTGATTGGATAAATATAGTCATAATAGGAGTAATCATCTCGTGAATGGATCATAACCATCCACACTCTTTATAGGAAAGTGACCACCAGATGTCGTGTGAATAATTTGTAAAATTCATGTGCTTCGTTTGTCATCTTTCTTTATATACTTTTCTTTTATGGATTCTCGCATTGTTCTTAATCGAGAGCTCTAATGGAGGAAGAATATCATTCTTAACTAATCTTTTTATTCTCCCCCTCGAAATATGGCACGAGCGATAATGCCATAATTTCGACTGACGCATTGTGAGCTCTCTTATGCCACC